CATCCTTTTTACACTACGCCCGCTACGATTATTATTTCCTTATTAGCCACCTGTGTTACATTTCTTTACATTTCTTCCCTTTCACACCCCGTACACCAAACACACTTAACAACATTCCTTTGCCGCCACATACCTACCCTTTTTACTTTTTCTTTTTGTTTATTACACAAGATTGTGGTGGTCCAGCGTTTCTTATTATAAATCTTTGGCCGGCGCGGACACAGTTAATATCATTAATACATAATAAATATTACTACAATATTACACCACTTGATGTCTTTTAAGTGTATTGGTTACCAAAATGGCAGGACATTCCCGTAAAACTGCATCACATTTAAGGCTGATTACGAATGAAGGATACAAAAATATTTGAAACTATTAAAAATAATTAAATATTAATTTTTTGTAAGAATTTTTAGGTAAAAATAAATAAGACATATTGTTGGATAAATATTTTTAATCATCTAAAAATAATGTTCACCATTTAGAGTAATATGAGAAAAAATAAACCAAGTTATGGGGGCAAAGTATTTAATTAAACCAACACAGATTCCACGTAAAAGAATATTGACAAAAAGTTTACCAGCAAGCAAATCTCAGTCCTTCGCAATACACAGAATCCGCGGCCTGCGCCACTTTTATCAGCCGTCGCCCAACTTCGTGTATATGGTAGTTTGACTGACTAAACAGCGTGCCATACGCCACGGTACAAAGTCCAGCAAGTACCGTGCGGCCGACGACGACTCACCGCATATACATTGAATTTCTCATCGTAACACCGCCATACAATCGTCGTTTCGTCTGAACTATTTTTCTTGCCTCACCGTAAGACGTATACATCGACTACTGTGTTTATCTTTGTTGCCTAATTATTTATTCGGCCTTTGTTGTTAAATATTTGCGTTCTATATTATCATTATTGTTTCTCCTTTCAGTCAATGTCTCGACGTCATTCAGTGAACCATAAAACTTGTCTACGTTTATTTTGCTCAGCACGTTAATGTCCTCTGTCAGTGATATTTAGTACATGTGCAAAGTAGTAATTATACTATTTTGCTATAATTAATAATTTATGAGCTATTGTGAAAATGCCTTACTGACACCAGTATAATAACACTAAATCAATGACAATTATTTTTTAATCCAAATTTTAAACGAAAACGTTTGATTGGACAAACATTTTTTTAACAATTTTTAATAGTTTCTATGAGTATCATAGTATCATACGCTCACTTTGTATTTTTTGTTTATTTATCAGAAGGTCACTGTGAATGAAATAGAATAGAATACGAAATTACTAATACATTTAAAATAATACTTATTAATACATTATTTTTTAATAGGAATTTTCTAAATTATGCAATTTAGACGAATTCGATGTTTTAATGGTACATTTCTCGAAAAGAAAAATTTTGTCTGAGATAGCAAGTTTTTTTGACCACTTTGGATTTGTAGAGCCTACAAGCGGAATTATTTTTACAGAAATTATGGTTTTTGAAAATAGCGTGGAATGATCAGTTACCTAATGAAATTAAAAACAAATGGTTAGAATACAGAAATAGATTACTAAAATTAAGTTTATTAATTAATTCGTCAAAATAAAATGAATATTATATAAATTCACACATTAGTTGCACCAAGAAATACGGACAGCACAAATCAAAGTTACTTTGCGCGAAATCCAAAGTGGTGCCATTAATGTCAATTAATTTATACCTCACCTTGAATTATTACACAAACATTATTTCCCCGCCTATCTTATAGAATTGTAATGAATGGATAACCACACTGTCTATCAAATAGAATATACTTGTGTCCCATAGAGCACGAGAAATTCAAGAGCTCACTTGTCAACTAGGTTGGTTTTTTATACAGACGCATAACAACCCATAGAATTGATTAGCTCTCGGTTGTGGTGCTGAACAAATAGGATAGATGGAGAAGTGGTGAAATGGTCTTAGTTGGTTAGGTAAAAATATACTTTCTAGATATAGAAATAAAAAAAAAAAATTTAAGTTAATTTTACAAGTATATCTATTGAGAAACTAGTTAAATAAATTTTCATCATCAGATAAAATGGTACGGATAGTAGCCTATTGTATTCAATTTATAAATACAAAAGTAAAAAAATTAGTAGAAAAGATAGGATTATTAATTAACACCGATGAGTTCAACGGTTAGAATACAGAAATGGATTACAAAAGTACATCAAAGTATAGCGAAAAATAATTTGACAAAATAAAACTATTATTAAATAAATTCACAAATTGTGCAAAATTTATAATTTTTAATACCACTAATTTTTTTTATATTGACAAAAAATTTAAAAATGAAGTATGCTTTAAAAAACACTTATGTCATTAGATACAATTCAGACCATGCATTTAAGTTAATATTTTTAATTACAAGTTAAAATGATAATTTATAATTTTTTTTTAATTTTAAACAAATTGGGAAAAAATAGAAATATTAAAATTTGAAATTTATTATGATTTTCCTCATTTATAGGGAACGAAGAAAATGTTTTCAATTTTTGAGGGTAATGTCTTCGAATAGACACGATTTGTAATCTTTTGCTGAATCATTGATAGAAATCGATTCGATGAGAGTTGAGTGAATGTGGTAATAGACAAAAAAAAACGCATAATAGTAAGATAAATACCTTCTCAGCTTCGCATTAAAGCTAAAGAGAAGGTTTTACCAGCCCTTTTTTTAGCTGTAAAGAGAAAAAATACACATAAATGAATACTATATCGTCATTTCATAAGTTATAGAGAATTAAGTGCACATAAATTTGAAAGTTTTGTAATGAGTAGATAAAAATATAATATACATATATATATATATATATATTAATGTCTCACGGTGTGAGAGTATCTGCATTAATTTGTAGTGTAATAGAATCAAGTCCAATTTGAAAAAACTTACGTTCTCTGAAATTAATGTTGAATGATGTAACGTCCAATAACTCAGAGGGTGGATTTGGTGTGTGCCATTTATTCAGTGTTTTTTCGAAGTCATTCTTTTTTATATACGAGGCCGAATAGTCTATGTTAGAAGAGTTTTTGTGAGATGATCATGTTGCTGACTCGATGTTGACGGTATTAAACTGTAAAACTTAAAACATAGTGTTGTTTTCAATGATGGTATTTTGACATGAATAAAGATAATTATATAGAATACTTTGATATATATATATTTATTCATGACATTATGGAAAGGAGGAACCAGTTAAAATGTAATATAAACGTATTTAATACTAGTAGTTTTTACAAAACTGTTATCATATGATCCATATCACATCACGCCTAAATAAACACACAACACAACGCGCAGCCCAAACAACCAGCTGGCTCGTAGTGGTTTGTGATTTACTAAAATTATATATAGGAGACGACCCAAGAAAAGCGCGAATTATTACCACAGATATTGGAAAACTACGCTGCGGTTTTAATGACACGTTGGGACGCACAACGTTTATTGAACACACTATATATTACCACCCGACCACAAAACGCGGACTGACTGCACACTCACTTAACTAGTGCCAGCCCTAGAACAGAAGCTGACACCGTCATCCTACACGGAGGAGACATTTTAAACAACAACAATAACAGCAGCAATAGCACAATAGCGGTAACAACAACAGTAATAGCAGCAACAGCGCAGTAGTGGCAACAATGTCTAAATCAGTAGCGGTGAAATTCATTTAAACCATCCAAAAATTTTGTTCAAATTCAACCCACGTGTTATTCTTATCGACTAAGACATTTCTTAGTACGAAATATCGAATTAGATATCATATTAATAAATACAGAGTGGCCCACCACTCACTGACAACTTAAATAACTTTTGATCCAGTTAATATTTTTAGTTGATTTTTTTTTTAAATATTAGTTATACGTTAGGTCTATAGCTATATCTCAATAATTAATTTTTTTACATTTTATTAAAAATATTAATTATTTTTAAATTTTAAATAAAACGTAGAAAAAAAATCTAAGATAGCTATTTTGTAGAGTAGAATTTAAGAAAAATTTTAGTAAAAAAATATCTTATTAATATTCAGTAGTAAATATTCTGTAGCGTTTTGAAGTTTGTGAAAATTTGAATTTTCATGTATTATTTTACGGTATTAAACATTGAAATACGTATTGAGAAAAGGACAGAAGAAAACGCTATCTTTTCAATATACTTTTGAATGAGAGTGATAAGTAATAATTGCCTTATCTAATTTCTTATCATGGTATTAATGCCAAGTTTGTAATGTATACACATTATCATCATATGTATACACAGTAATCATGAAAATATTTTTTTCTTTTATTGTATTTTTCCTTTAGCTCATTTAATAATTTGTAATAATTTTAACTATGACTTGAAATATGTTATATGAAAGAATTTGTAATTTTATTTTATTTTGAACATTTGTAACTGACATTTATTTTATTGTACTTTGGGCATCATTATTTTATTTAAACTCATTATATAAAATAGAACATCATCGCCTATACTACTTGTCTACCAGTTTTTAATTCCTTTTCCCCTAGAGTTAAGGTCAAAACTTAGTAAATTAAAACAACAAATGTGTCAGTTATATTTAAAATTCCACTATGCTCCGGTCTGGTAGAGCCTCGGCTAGTGGTGAATCCAACTTCGTTTGGGTTTATGTGCTTCATCGGTGATAACCTCACGGTTAGTTATTGATGAACGTCACAATATTTTATGAAAATTTCTTGCATAAAGTTTTTTTTATTCTTAAACTTTTTAGTCTTCTAAACTTAATTCAATAGCAATTTTTTAGAAAGTAAATACCAATAGTTTTCACAATTCATGCATGAGTAATAATATCATTTATATATTTTCGTCATAAAATTTGTAAAAAGTCTATAATAGTACCATTTAAAAAAATTGACACTTATTTCTATAATTTGTTTTTTTATTATTTATGGTTTTTAATAATTTATTTTAAATCCTATAAAAACCCAAAAATTCAATGGAAAATTAATAAAATATATTCAAAGTTAAAAGCCAGTCAATTATATTAATTAAATCTTAATATTCTTAAAAAATGTTTTACAAAACGTATTCTTTTGTTTTAATTTTTATGTGTTGTTCTTATTTTAAAAATGTTATTGCAGATATACTTTTCAGTGACAAAGTAATTTATATAAAATTTATTAAACTATATTTAATTCAAAAATTAGTTAAGATACATTTTATTTAACTTTTATGTATTATCTGGTGATTAAAAAACATATTACACTTCCTTACAATTAAGAAAGTCATACAATTTTCTTCTTCATATGTACTTAATTATTTAAATAAATTATTTTTCATGCTTACTGCAGTTATAAAAACCAAATTTTTATTGCATTTTCAATTCTGTTTTTTTTTTATTTAGGCAGGAAATAAAATTTTTCATATGATAGCTGATGTAAGTTTCATGATTGCTAAAATTAAAAATTTTTTAAATAATATTACTAAAAATCAATATTATTTATATTCAATGATTGTATTACAGCATGTGCAGACTTTAATTGTGCTTATAGTGAATTGATAACACTTGGTTTATATTTCATTTTGCAATTTTTAATAAAACACATCCTGTTACAATTTTTTTTTTTTTTTTTAGAGTACCGAAAAATATGGAAATATTGAAATGGTGAGAAATTATTTTATGTAAACATTATAACTGGTTTTAATAGTGGAGCAACATGGAATAATGATAAGCAAGTCAATTTTAAGCAAGACATTTTATTATTTTAATTCTACGACATGCATTATTGCGTACCCCCCTGGTACTGCCGTTAATTATTACTTAAAGCCTCCATGCCAGCCGTTTACATACAAAAGATAGGTCGTCGGGACAAATTTTTTTTTTTCATTTTATAGTACATAAAATAAGTTTTAATTTAATATATGTTTGAAGGACGCAGTATTTTCGGAACATTTTCAAAAATTAAGTTGAAGAAGTTAATTTTTGTAAAAAAGTTGCTATTTTAAATGCCCCCCAATGAGCAGGTTAAGTGATAGATTTTAAAAAAAGTGATATCAAATGAAAGGGAAATATCTAAGGTTTTAGTATAAAAAAAAATTATGTTGATTTGTTTAATTTTCAAAAAGTTATCGAAGTTTTAAGAAAAAAATGACAAAATTTACCGATTTTTAAATTTGTAATTTTTTTGGATATTTCCCCCATTTTCGGGGAACGAGGGAATTTTTTT